TTTCCATCAAATTTTCCAATTTAGTCTTTACAGATTTTTATTTTTCCTTGAAGAGAAGCTAACATTTTATGATGGAATTTAATGGGAAACTAGGCTTTGCTAAAATTTACTTATTCTGTATAAGAGCACAGATACACCATGACACCACAGAAGGGTACCATTTTTACCACTAGGAGTAAAACAAAACCAAGAGTCCCTAATTTCTATGATATGTATACAACTACCCAAATGTTTAGCCCAAAGCTATGCTATTAATCAGACACGCTTGTGGATTTAGTTAACTGGGAACTTTGCGATAGTTTAGGTTCTCCTGGTTGGGAAGCTAGTACCAATGTTTTTGCAACATCCACTTTCCTCCAGGCTGACAGAGAAAACTGATCAACTATGGTGGAGAAGTTACTGAAAAGGGCACTTAGGTTTGGAAAACCATCCCAGACAATAATAGATAACCCCTTGATTTATTATTTGTTTGATTTAATACTTTTCTTTATTGGAACTATAGCACTCAGGTAAAAATTATAACTATAGCAGTCATGTTTTAGTAAGCAGAGTACATATTTTGCCATCAAAATTATCCTGATGAAAGAAAAGAACACTTAGCTATGTGATTTGAATGATGTATGTTAAAATAAATGCACAATATGCCACTGAGAATGATATAACTGTGTCTTAGTCATCTAGTGCTGCTATAACAGAAATACCACAAGTGGATGGCTTTAACAAAGAGAAGTTTACGCTCTCATAGTCCAGTAGGCTACAAGTCCAAATTCAGGGCATCAGGTCCAGGGGAACACTTTCTTTGTTGGCTCTGCAGGAAGGTTTGTGTCATCAATCTTCCCTTGGTCTGGGAGCTTCTCAGCACAGGAACCGCAGGTCCAAAGGACGCGCTCTACTCCCGGCACTGCTTTCTTGGTGGTATGAGGTTCCCATGTCTCTCTCCTCGCTTCTCTCTTTTATATCTCAAAAGAGATTGGCTTAAGACAACTATCTAATCTTGTAGACCTCATCAGTATAACTGACGCTAATCCATCTTATTACATCATAGTGATTGAATTTACAACACATAAGGAAATCACATCAGATTACAAAATGGTACACAATCATACAATACTTGGAATCATGACCCAGCCAAGTTGACAGATATTTTTGGGGAACACAATTCAATCCATGACAAACTGCAACCACAGCATAGCAAACACACACACACGCAAATACTCAGATAACTTAAATACTGTGCATATTGCATTCACTGCAAATTATTCCTAAATTATAAAACAGTTATAGCCCACTCCTTGATTGCCAGGGCTACATTACATTTCCCAACTTTAAATATGAAATACATATGGGAAATATGTTAATTTTTGTTTTAATGAAAACTATATGAATTTAAAAATTGAGATATCATAAAGTACGCATCACTCTCCCTGAATAAAGTATACAACAAATTACAGGCCTGTGGAACTGAGCTAATAATTCTGCTTTAAAACAAATATAAATGAACTATATTTTAGTTATTATTATCCTCATGTAGGTCTCAAAAGATTATTGCTGCTAGAATGTTCATGATGAAAGTTAAGGTTGTCTGTTAAAGAGGTATTTGTGACAAGGCCTTTGAATCTCTTATACATTTTTCTAAGTATTTGGCTGGGAAGGCTCATTTTTTCACCCAGTTTAACTCAAGTTATTTTTACTCAGCAAAATGACAAGCACGCTATTCCTGCATTGAAGGTGCTTCCTGAAGATGGAAGATGACAAGATACGCGTATCTGAAAATGGAAAAACACTCTAGAATGGTACAAGCAGAATACTCTGGTGAAGTGACTCAGAATAACAGGAACACTGAGCGGGTGGAGTTCATAAAGGAGATTCAGCAAGAAGTGAGCATTGAATTGAGTTTTTAAATGGTGTAGAATTTAGCTGGGTGGAAAATTAAGAACATTTCATGGAAATTTCATGGAAAAATTTCCTCAGAAACTGAGTCTTTTTGATCACCTTGAAATATTCAAAGAGTTTTTAAATGTGTTCCAAGTTTAGGAAATGCAGCATTATCTCAATTAGCAAAGCTTCTTGAAAGAGAGTCACCTTGATAATAGAACATTTGGGGACAGGAAAGTCAAGCCCATTAAATGGGCTGTTATCACAGGGCTGGGGCTTCTTTAGCAACACAATTGAAGGCAGAGGGTAGGGGCACATCCCAGTGCTATGCAGGGATACTGGCAATTTGGAAGTGGGAAAACCGTCTTGAGAGAGGTGGAAATAATTTGCTCCAATGTAGCGCAAAAGGTCAGAGACATATAAGGTAGGGAATCCACAAAATCATACCCAACCCTACCTAGTTCATATCCACTATCAGCAATGCCATGTTTGCTGATAAGTGAGACACCAGAGGCTTGTTTCTCTTCGTTTATAGGTATCAGTCTCTTCTCAATTTCATAGCCCTCTTCGTTTTTTCTACAGTGGTTACTAGGGAGTTTTTATACAAGGCTGGTGACTAAGGAAACCTGCCTGCCACTCAGAGGTATTGCAGGTCTCACTTCTCAGGTTCTGGTGGCAGTTGGAGAAAGAGAGGGCAGTGCCAAATGGTGAAACTGGAAAGAGAAGGGGCCATTGCATACCACAGGAAGGAGGCCCCTGTTTATTTTTATGCAGGGGAGAAGACAGGAGCAGGGCACCATCAGGTCTGCATTGAGGTCCCCACCAGAGGTAAAATCCTTCTGTAAGGGTGACTTTTCATGCCTTTCTGTGAAGTGGTTTAATTACTGAAATAGGCCTCAACTGAAAAATGAAAGGGCACCCACTTCGTATATCCCTGGATAAAATAAAAAGTTTCCCTCCTTTCTCCTTTGAGTGGGGATGTGGATCAGAACAGGCAAAGACAAAGTTCTTAGAGGGCCAAGGGAAAAAGGGCAGTTGGGTAGGAGAGGGGCCTTTCTCTGGTAGAGAGCTAGGAAGCAAGGCAAACACTGTCACGAAGGCTTTATCAGGCTGGACAACCTCGGGCAAAGATGTAAAATTCTTCCCAGTCTGTGCATTCCAAACACCTGCCTTGGCTGAGGTTTGTCCCTGCTCTACTACTCCAGCAGAGGCCCTGGGTGGTACAAACGGTTAACATACTTGGCTGCCAACCGAAGTGTTAGAGGTTTGAGTCCACCCAGAGATGCCTCAGAAGAAAGGCTTGGTGATCTACTTCTGAAAAATCAGCTGTTGAAAACCCTGTGGAGCCCAGTTCTACCCTGCCATACATGGAGTCGCCGTGAGTTAGACTCACCTTGATGGCAACTGATTTTGTCCCTGCTCTGTGACTCCAACAAACCGCATGGACACTGAAGATAATAAGTGTTCAGTAATTTGTTTATGATTGAATGACTTAATGAATCAATGAACAGAGGATGGCTTCTAGGAGAAAGAGCCAGGGCAATGTCACAGGTTACAAAAATCTTGCAAAGGACAGAGATGTTAAGAGCCTGGACTTTGGTGGCGGCTGAGGGGTGGTGAAGAGGCAGCAGCTGTAAGAATTATTCAGATGAAGGTCAGGATATGATTGCCTGTGGGGACTGAAGAAAAAGAAAGATTAAGAATGATTTTGCAGCTTCCAAACCAGGCAACTGGACTTTAGGGAAGGTGAGGAGGACTGCAGGCTTTTGAGAGAGGATGACGAATTTGGATTAGATCAAGTGAAGCCCTTTTTATTTATTAGAGAAGAATTTTAACTCCCTTATAGCCAAGATGATCTATATTTATTACAAAAAAAAATTAAAGAACACTTTGAAATGCAATTAAATTTGTTTATTGAAATTGTGAGTAATACAGATTGTTTTCGGTATAATATAGGCGTCACACATTTCTCCTGGTAACTAAAGAACATCAATGGCCAGCTAAAAAACACAAAATTAGAAGAACCTAGAATAGTACACTTTTTATTAATGGAAGTGTCCCTAGAGATCAGCAAATCCAACCACCCCATTTAACAGATAAGGAAACTGGAGAAGCTAGCATTCTTCACTCTACAAATACTTAGGGCACTGTGTGCCAGGCACTTGCTTGGTGCTGGGGATAGAAAAGTAAACAGAACACAGTACCCGTACTCACGAAGCTCATAGCCAGGACAGTGGAGGACAGTGTCCAGTGTCCAGTAAGTGAGAAATTATCACACAATGTAATAAGTATTGTGAGACAAGCATGCCCAAGGTGCCAGGTGCTCTTAACGCAGGCTTGGGAGCAACTCCCAAAGAGGGTGAAGTATGAGCTGAGCTGGGAAGGATAAGCAGAAGTCAGCCAGACAAGGAGGTCGTGGAACCGTGTCCCAGGAAGACCAGACCACAGGTGAAGGCCAAGGTGAGGGAAAGCATAGTGCATTTAGTTAACCCCAGGAGTCAGAGTGCAAGGGAATTCTAGTTCTGGATTTAGGATAGGTAGGCTCCTGGCTCCCAGTTGGATGCTATCCTTAACATTCTATCTGTTGCTATTGACAAGTCTCTGATGATTCCGCACAGATAGTAGTAATAATCTTGCATAGAAAAAAAAGCAGCACTGATGGTTCATGCTTACTCAGGTATAGATATGAAGATTTTCCTGAACTCTCTTGATTAAAATGTCTCTACAAGAATCATTACTTCATATTATAGCTTTTCATTTCCTTCTAAAATGTTCATATCACTCAGGTCATGCTATAAAGCTCTTACGTCTGGAAGGGATTTTAAGGGATCCTTTTGACAGGGGAGAAGGGAGTGCAGGGGTGGGAGAGGGCAGTGGGAGCAGTCCACAACCCTGGTGCAGGGAATAAAGGGGTCATTGTCTTTAGAGACAGAGTCTCAGGGTAGTGCAAAGAGTTAATGAGCTTAGCTGCTAACTCAAAGGTTGGAGGTTCAAGTCCACCAAGAGGTGCCTCATAAGAAAGGCCTGGTGCTCTACTTCTGAAAAATCAGTCATTGGAAACATTATGGAGCACAGTTCCACTCTGACACACATGGGTTGCCATGAGTCATAATCTGCTTGATGGCAATTTTTTTTGTTTTGTCTTTTTTTTTTTTCCTGTCTGTAAAGAATTTAAAACTTAATAATAAAACTGACCAAAATCATTCTGCTTACTATTATCACCAAGTAACATCAATTATCAGCAATGTTGGTAATAAAATACTCCTTCCCGCCAAGACAAACTGCTCCTGTAACTCCTTACCGCTTTGTACACCACCGCATTTAGTATATACCTGCACGCGCATATAAAACAGAACCCATGTGGCTTTAGAAATATAGAAAGTATCCATACCAGCCATCTATTCCGTTCATACTACCATATATTCACCATTCAATTTCATTTTGTAAACATGGATTGAGTAGTCAAAATCATACATACAGGGACCACACAGAAATGTTCATCTTCCTAAAATTATTGTATTTATTTCCAGTGACGATTCTCATCTCCTCAAATCTCAAATCACTTTCCAGCTGGGGTCACTACGCATAATGCCTGATGCTGTCTTTTCTGTGTGTACGAGTCACAGGGAGCAGTCCTCACTCATTCTCTCCGGCTGGGCCGTCTGGCACGTGCTCGGTGGCGTAAACACAGAGGGGTCTTTAATGCCTAAGTGTATGTCGAAGAACCGGGTGGACAATATCACACTATAATTTTTGGTAAAGGTTTCCTGCACAGGATAACAATCCTTGAGTGTATAAATGCCGATCCAGGTTTCATCTGTAAGAGAAAGTAAAGTTGACTTTTTAATATAGAAGACGGGCAAAGTGCCTGCATTTTTACAACAGTCTTTGGGGTAGGAGTACAGGCAGCCAAGCAGAGAACAGTTTCACGTCTAACAAACGCAGGCAGGTCTGGCACCCGGATGATGGTGCAGGTCAGGTCACTGCAACTTTAGGAAGTGATGTTGGGGGAGGAAAAGAAGCCACCCAATTCAAATCTGTGCCTTAGAAAAATGCCTTGCACATCACAGATCAGAACCAATGCTAAGTCCATAAAAGCCACAGTGGCAGAAAGGTACAGGTGGCACTAAAAGGTTAAGATGTTTCAAATATGTTGCTAATGTGACACAATTAGCAAAATACATGTGGGGACTTAAATGTGGTTTGTTGTTGTTGTTTTTTTAGTTGCTATAGAGACAATTCCAACTCATGGCAACAGAACTATTCCATAGGGTTTTCAAAGCTGGGACCTTTTGGAAGCAGATTGCCAGGACTATCTTCCAAGGCACCACTAGGTGAGTCTGAAATGCCAACCTTTCAGCTGATAAATGTCGAGCGCTTAACTATTTGTGCTACCCAGGGACTCAAATATGGTTTAAGCAAGTTAATTAACTTTATAAATTTCCCTAACAGCTACCTTCCTTAAAAGAATGGAACACTTTTTCCCATCATGCTTCCTGAGATACAGTGCTGGAATACTTTTTTTAATCCCAAAAGGGATGTCCTTACATGATCTGGCCGATTTCCGATTGGACCACTCCTGGACCATTATCTGCTCCTGAGGCCCCCCGATGGAGTACTGATCTTCAAATGTGGAATTCTGAGGAATGTCGAGTGGATCCCAGGGGTCCTGCAGGGTAATCTTTGAGCACTGCTTGGTGGCTTGTTCAATCTGAAACATCACTCTATCCTTATAGAGGAGAATATATTCAAAAAATCTGAAAGACAGATGAAAAGAAAATCGTTTATGACTTCACATTAGAATCATCATGCCTTTTACCAGCATAAAGGCCAAAAGCCTTTGCTATAAATGATTTTTCAAATACCAAAAAAAAGTTTTACTTTTTAGGCAGTCCTTCATTCGTATGTAAACAAAAGGCACATGAACAAGTTGAACACAAGACAACCAAAACTGGGAGGTCAGAATCCCATATGTACTCGATATTTAGCGAGTAGCTATTATATGCCAGACCGGGTGCTTAGGATACAAAAATGAGGAAGATAATGGCCCTGGGTTGTTAGGCTTTGGTGTGCAATGGTAGAATTCTCCCCTTCCATGCAGGAGACCTGGATTTAGATCTGGCCAATGCACCTCATGTGCAGCCACCAACCGTCTGTCAGTGGAGGGTTGTATGTTGCTATGATACTCAACAGGTTTCAGCAGAGCCTCCAGACTAAGATGGACTAGGAAGAAAAGCCAGGTGAGCTACCTCTGAAAATTAGCCGATGAAAACACTGTGGATCACAACAGTCTCATGATCATGGGGACAGTGTAGGACCAGGCAGCATTTCTCTTCATTACGCATGGGTTCATCATGAGTCAGGGGCCCACTCAGCAACTAACATGGCCCTGGGTTAACAGGTGGTTTGTGACCTTTCATTTAGCCTCAAGGACACAGAAGGATTTGACCTCCTTGCAGTCGAGGAATGATAGTAGTATAATGAGTCCAGGATAAACAAGAACCCCACTGAGGATTGTACAGGACCAGGCATCATACCACATTGTCACATTTGTCTATCCGTCAGGAATAAAGTGTTTCGGTGAGACACAGCTGGGCTGAGAATGGTCTCTTCCCCTAAGGAGGCTACAACTACCAAGGACAAAAGGTGAAGGGACCCAGAGCTAATGGCTTCCCTCAGCTGAGCTTGTCTACAAATTCTCAGCCTCCTCTGGTGACCACATGCAGGCTCTACTTTCAGAGCAAGACTAAGGCTACATGGAAGCTGAGCCCGGGAGTCTCCAGACCTTCGCTCTGCCGTTACCAGGCTGCTGCGTTGCTGCGAGTCCTGAATCGTCTTGTAGCTCAGCAGTCTGGGTGCTGGGTGAAACCTGTTGTGTTTCCATGAGTTTGACTGTCATTCAAAACCTCAGATCACTGCTGCCGTGCACAGAGTGGGTGTTGCAGCTGTGACCTCAAAAAATGAAATTTGCAACACTTGAGGACAGAAAAGCCTAGAGAGGTGGCTTTTCATAGGCATCTAAATACAGCCAGCAAATTATCTGTGGTATCTGAGCTTCACGCCCACCAGAGGAGCCTTTAGGGAGGCGTGTTCTGCCAACCCAAATCCAAGCTGAAATTTATTTTCTTCATAAAAAAATGTTATAAATGATAGCTATCTGTATGGTCAAAGTTGTGCTCCTATTAGTATTACGCTTCAGGTTTCCACAAGCTTTTATGAGAGTATAAGCATGACCTGATGTTATATATTTAGATATATCCTCCTTATTCCAGAAATGATTTGAGATGGCTTGCAAGGGCAACACTCAAGTGAGAGTGAATGTAGAAAGAAAAGTAAGTGTGCAGCTTATGAGATACTGCCAACTTCTTGTAATATACATGCAGGGCTCACACAAAACTGTTTAAGCCTTTTGAAGGCTTTTAGGGTTGGATTGCCACTGTTTTCTCCCAGGCAGTTAAGTCAAGTCCCTGGCACATCAGAGTCTAAACATTCATTGAAGGAATACAGAAACATAAACGTGAACTTTCAGAACATGAACCATTCATAAATATCTTTTGAATGGAATCTTTGCCCATATCACATGGAATCTTTGTCAATGCACAAATCCTGTTTTGTGATACTTTTAATGACAGTGGGCCACCCATGATACCTCTCTATGGTATAACCACAGAGATAGTTGTCTTCATCCTTCTCCTCCTCCTCCTCATCGTCATCTGATGTTTTCCCATGTTCTAGGTCTCTACGCTAGTCATTCCTAGCTTTTGCTGAAACTCAAGTTCTGTCCTTCTCAACCTATAGTGATTTTAGCCTGGAGGCTATGAGCAATGTGCAGCTGCCCCCCTAAATCCACAGTGTCACAGAAATGGGCCTTGGGAGTTGGTGTTTATAATAATGATCTAGCTACTCTCACCAGAGCTTACTGGACCAGAGCTGGATATGTGACCCAGGGCTGAACAATCCGATTCTTTACCCTGGAAATGTGCAATTGTGATGGAAGGTCTACTAGTCACGTGGAAGGACATGGCATGCAAACTCCAAAGCCTTTAGTGGCTATTTTACAAGTGAACTGAGTAAGAGAAAACAATGAAGAGAGAAGCAGAGATAAGAAAGAGCAACCTGGGATTCCAATAGCTTTTCATTTCCTGGATTCATTTCTTTTCTGAGCCTTGGTGCCTGGAGACCCCCACCTCTTCACAGGTATAATAAGCAACCAGTTGCTATTGAGTCAGTTCTGACTCATGGCAACCCTATGTGTCTCAGAGTAGAACTGTGCTCCACAGGGTTTTCAATGGCTGATTTTTTGGAAGTAGAACACCAGGCCTTTCTTCTAAGGCACTTCTGGGTGGCATCTCTGGTTAACCATTTGCACCACCCAGAGACTCTGCATAGTTATTATTATGTCATTGCTGTGTGCTGTTGAATCGATTACGACTCATAGGGACCCTATATGACAGAGTAGAACTGCCCCATAGGGTTTCCTAGGCTGTAATCTTTATGGGAGTAGATCACCAAGTCTCTTCTTCTGGGGAGCCACCGGATGAGTTTGAACTGCTGACCTTTCAGTTAGCAGCTGAGCGCTTAACCATTGTGCCACCAGGGCTCCTATAATTATTATACATTTCCTAATAAACGTTCTGTTTTTGCTTTTGATTTTGTGCTACTCGTGACTAGAGAGTCGTTTCTAATGTTGCTGAGGACCCCACTGTTTCACCTACTGCCCTGGGAGATGGCTGCCCATGCAGTTGTGCTGGGAGAGCCTGGCAGGGCACTCTGTAGAACCAGGGATCGTGAAGACCTGGTCAGTCACCTGCCAAGCAAAGGAAGGGGGGCAGCGGGAAATGAAATTGGACAACTTCACAGGATTCCTGAGGCAGCTCTGCTCATAAGCAGAAATAAAACTTAACTTTAAAATGAGAATGCTAGACCTAAAATAATTATTCCAAAAGGTTAACATTTGTTAAATCCAGGTAGTGTGAATGCAGGAATTTGTTCTGGTATACTCTGTACTTTTCTGTGTTTTTGAAATATTGAATTAAAAAAAAAAGAGAGAGAGCATAGTTTGATATCGAGGTTATGTTGACTCTACCTTAAGACTGATAATTTAATAAGAAACAAAATAGAAGCATATAACTCATTTTTTAAAGTACACATGTGGATATAAATGCCAGTACAGTCTCATGAGAAATTTTGGAAAAGAAAAATTTAATGATGCTGTAGTGGCTTGTATGATTTATATGAACATATTAACAGTTAAGATTTAAGGTTCTCATCACAAATAAGATACTGAATCTGGAGTCCAATAGGGCCATAAGGTCAAAATGCAGAGATCAGCCAAGGTTGAAATGACTCATCAGCCTAGGATGCTGTGCAGTAATAACTTGTAGAACCAAAGAACGAACAAATTTAAACAGAAACCAGATCCCAGGAGACGAGGTCAAAGCTGGGCTCTGCAGGGAGATAGTCAAAGAGGACCAGAGGCACAAACCACACCCTTGGGGTACAGTCAAACCAGGTGAGGAGATGGAATCGGTGAGTAGGACCAGAGAGACAGTCCAGCCCTGGGACAACAAAGGCAGAGTCATGCAACTTCGGCCTCTTCCCCGGCCAGACACCAACCAAAGCATGATTCCCGAGGTAGGGTGGTTGAGAGTCCCCACAAAGGCCTAGCCCAAGGCCTTCACTGTGAGCAAGGTCAGGCTCCCTAGGCCCCTTCAAGGGGTCAGAGGGCAGAACTCTCCATGGTAACCACAAAGCGTAGGAGGGGCGCAGCAACCCATTTTGCCTCTCACCATGTGGGAAAGAGGATTTTTTGTTGCTGTTCTCAGGTTGCATTGACAATTTCTATTGTTTTTTGCAAAGTCATTTTCCTAAAAATTAGGTTCTTCCATCCCCATGCTTTCCAAAACATTGGAAAGCTACAGAAGCTTTCTTTTGAAAATAGGTTTACTATTTTTGTAGAACTGGTTCTAGCTTGATGTTAAAAAAAAAAAAAAAAAAAAAAAAAATTTGAACAAGATAGGAATGAAAAAGGAAGTAAAAGTTGCCTAGAAGACAGATGAAGTCCCATTCCACTACTAATACTACTATCTTTGATCATTAAGTTACATGGTGACAAGATATCTTGTTATAAAAGTGCCTCCCTTTGTAATTACCAAGTAATCTGTGCGTGATACTTTGTTATACTGGAAATATCCTGATTCCCAATACCTGCCACCTAATGCTTTTAGATAAAACCATTTCCTGAATCAATTATTACCCTGGGGGTTGGAGATTGGTTATTTTCTTATTATTATTCCTTCATTATTTTCAGCTGGCATTCATCTGTAAAGAAGAGTTTTGTTTCAATCAACTGGGATGAACCACAGTTCTTAATAAAAAGTCAGAGTAAATGGTTAATACCTGCTCCTTATTAATTTTAAAAGTAAGGAGTTGGTATAATAGTCACCTCCATTGGTATAGCCAATGTGTGTCTCTCTCTCATTGACTATCACTCTGAATCCATTGGTTTTTGTTTATTCTATGTAATAAAATAAATTCAAGTCATTCTTTATGATGCTCAAATTGTCCTAAATTCAGTCAGTAGGAACTCCTTTGAGCCTTCTGACATAATCCCATTAATCTTTGAGTGCTTCCTGGCTTTCTGGGACCACAAGACGTCCCAGACTTACCTTGTACTTTCCCTGCCCCAGACATGAAATCGACCATTTCTCTAAGGAACCTTGATTACAATTAGTGAGAAATGGAATTTAGAAACTAG